CAAATTTATCGGTAACCACATCACCTGAGGGGTGGGTTAAATCTGTGGCAAAGAGAGACCAGTTTTCAGCAGTCACGGATAGCCTTCTACCATCGCGTGGCTACAGATGACGAATAACGTTAGATGAAAAATATCGCGATATTTGAGCTCATATGATGGCCATCGGAAGGGTCCTCTGCCATCGATCTATCACAGCGTATTCACAACGTCACATGCATAGGCAAATATGCAGCACATGGATTGGTCACCACAATTCTGCAATCATATTACAGGTGGAATTTCGTATTCCAGTGCTGAGTAACGTCCGCTGGGGCCTTGTTCAGTCAAGATGATGCTCAAGACACATCATTCATGGATGATCGAACAACCGTGCCTTGATCCTCTGAGGGTATTTAGGAGATCAAGAAAAGAATTCGCAGTCTGCTCGCAAACGTTCAGCAAGTCGCTATTTCAGCGTTGGATCGATGGACGTTGAAAGAAACGAAAAATAACGATCTGGGGAAAGGAGTGGCGGAAATAAACGGATGCCAGCCTCTTCCTTGTAGCCGACAGTTACACGTTTTAGAGTACATGAGGAGGAGAGAAAATGCTTCAGCACAAATTCCAAAGTTTAGAAAATATTCGCTTTGCCTTGTTGTGCAGGCGGCTTTATGTGTCCCCATTTTATACTAGTGAAGGGGGTGAACGGTAATGGCGCCGGTGGAAATCTTCACCATTCGCGTAGGTTCGGCAGCGCCCATGTCTTAGGGCTGGAGTGGAAGAATGCGCAGTGCCCTCCCCCCCAACGTATCTAGAGCGTTAATTCACTAATTCAATGACAGTAGCAGTAGTTCAAGGGGATTTCGGGCGTCAGCACTTTCTGTCTCCTTCGATCAACCACTTGTGTAGATTTTCCTGTAGCCAAAAAGGATAGAGTTTGCCAGAACAAAGGTCAACATCCAAAAAAACGCTGGCTTAAGCGTAGCCATCTTCCACTGAATACGATTTTTGACTTCAGTAATGCACGATGGCCAGTGTGCCTTTCGAAATTTCAATTGAGGTATAGGAACAAACTCGATAAGCGCTACCTGCAGATCGATTTTGAACAATACACGGCGATGCTGGTTTCTCGTAAAGAATCCAAGCACCGTCCTGGAAGCAGGCGAGGCGGGTGCGGCTACTGTACTCAGAGACGAAGCATTGGTCCAAGCTTCGGTCAGTCTTCCATCTGGCCGATCCGAAACTACCGTGCCTTGCTCTTTATTACAAATTGCGATGTTTACGAAGTTGTCCGCTCAAACAAAAAGATGGGGACGCAGCATCGATAGCGGCAGTAAGAGGCAGTTAGTTGGATTCGGCTGGTCTCTATCATATGTTCACGATGGCCATTTCTCCGACGGTCACTCTGGTAAATTGGAGACCTTCTAATTCGCATTTTTGTAGAACAGAAACGCCTATCCGATGCTGGCCACGTGGTTGAGCCATACTCAGGCTACACATGTGTCTGGTGATAACTATCATGATTAAGTCAACAACTGTACATGCGGCCGGTTGGTCATCGTCTTCGATGCGCGTCTCTTGCACGATGGCGATGTTAATCGGTTTTTCTTTGAACGTGCTCGATAGGTAATCGCATTCATTGGATCCTGGTTCTACATTCAGCTGGAAAATTCGGAGCGTTCGGTATTCGGCCAATGGCTTCACTCCTTTGGCCGTTCTAAGCATCGTTGGACTTATTTCGTACTAGCTTCGAATTCTGGTCGTGAAAAGGACCTTTTGGACCGCTTGCTGCTAGTGAAGCACAGACTGCTTCCAGAACGCTCGGCTGCAGGTAACGACGTTCGTTGCACTGCTAAGCTTTGGCACACTTTAAGCATCACAGATGAATCTTAAACGTTGAGTTGTTCAAGGAAGCTAGAAAAAGAGTAAGATGAATATACTGAACAGATAAGAAGGAAAAATTCTCGCTCCGTATAACGTACACGACGACAAAAAAGACAAACTGCTTCACGATTCATGATTCGTAGTATCTCGAAATCCTGGTTGAAAATGTTGATGCACATCCAAACTCTGATGGATGGACAGAATCAGAGAAAAAATGCCTACTAAGAAGCGGAAGACCAAACACAGCACAAGCGCTGGCTTGCAATATTGCTGGACAGAGAAAATGGCAAACGGTGACAAGAAGCGAGATGTCGTAACCCTTTAGGACAGACAATCAATCAGGTCTGTTGACAGACCGAGAAAATTGGTCCAGGCTGACGATAAACGAAACCTGCGTCATATCATGTCTTAATGCAATGAACGGTTCAGATTATACATATTACAGTAAGCAAACTTTTGCGTAAACCAACGAACTTTCATGAAATACGAAATATGTCGTAACCTTCTTTTCATGCAGCGGCGCTGATGTTTGTCGATTTTCTGTCATCAGCTAGATGTGCCTTAGTTTAA